CACATAGGATCGCAATTCTCTCAATTGCAAAGCTGATGGCCTAACTTTACTTTGAACAGTGAAATCCCGAAACTGTGGAGTTGATTTAGGAAACTGAATAACAATAGACCGAAGTCTATTCTCAAACTCGGATTTGCTGAAAATTGTGTTTCAAAATGAATTGAATGGATATGTTTCAAAATGAATTCAATGGAGACGTCATCCACATAAGAGCGGGTAATGGAATTAATTTGCAAGCAGAATTCTCAAATCCACGTGATGTTTATATAGAGATAGGAGGAGATAAAATACTTCTTGCCAATTTTTTTGATGCTAATCAGATTGAACTGAAATGGTTGGATTTTTGGTTTGATTGGTTTGATTTGACTTCAATCTATTAGTATTAAAGAAGCAATTGGGCAGCGTTAAGTGGTATGTTACTGGTTTGTGATTCTTTTTTTCCTATTATGATACCAAGTGCACGATAATATTGTTTAGAATTTAAAATGATGTACTGTAGTAAGGGAGCTCTAATAAAATGGCATGCTTCCTCAACTATATTTTTTCTACCACGTTGGTTAGATAAAATATTATTTCAATTACATAATAAATTATTTTTTAATATATACTCCGTATTATTAATTCATTAATAATAATAATAAGTACAATTGCAATACGTCTACCAAAAAAAACATTGACACATAGGATCGCAATTCTCTCAATTGCAAAGCTGATGGCCTAACTTTACTTTGAACAGTGAAATCCCGAAACTGTGGAGTTGATTCTAGGAAACTGACTTGTTAAGGCAAAATCAAGGGCACTAACTTCTACACCAAGAACAGAGCTAGAGGTTGAAGGAGTGGAAAAAAAACATCAAAGAAACTCCCCAAAGAAAATGGCTCCTTTTTCTTTTCGCCATTTTATACAACCAAATTCATCTGTTTGGAAACTTTTAAAGTACATTTTGAATGCATCCTAACTGAAAACCCATCATCATAAACTTATTGATATCAATATCCATAACAAATAAAGCAATGGGTGATGCAAATGACCAGAATTTGTTTCTTTTAGCAGATAAGACACCCCTGTCAAAAATATAACATACAAGTTTGTTTTAGCAGATAAGACACCTCTGTCAAAAATACAACATTTACATAGCATCACCAACTAAACATAAACTCATTATGACCATTGGTCAAGCATCCCAAAATTCTAAAACATATAAATTTCCAGCTTTTCTCATTATGCCGCCATTGGTGAAGCACCCCAAATTTGTGGAACAAAAGGAATAACCCATAAGTATTCAAACCCCATAGAAGAATAAATATAGAATCCCAGAAGGCCAATAAAGAATAAGCACTTCCAAAAATAGGAAGTAGCATCTTGTTTAATGTTTAAATCCAGTTGGTAATCTTCAAGACCACACAAGGAACATAGGACTGATAAAAAGCTTTTAAAATTCTAAACAATATAGATGAGATGCCAGCAGCAAAATGCATATGCAGTTGTATATGAGTAAAAGAAGAAAACCATTATCACATATATTATTGCAAAGTTGTGATGTTGAAAAGTATAATCCCAAATAATAATAAGCTAAACATATAATCCCAAATAACAAGCTAAATTGTGTTGGATCTACAGGTGACCATCAAATCAAATAGACATAAAATGCATAAGCAAATCCACTAAGGTATTAATGACAAGAAATAACAATAATGAGAATGGTATTGGACCTCTAATAGCCCAATTTTCTAACTTCAGACAAATCCTCAACTTCATGAACAACTCGTAATGATCCATCCACAAACACTGACTTCAACAAAACAATAAAAGACATGAATATCAATTGCCTATGGGGAAAAATACTCAAATTTTTACTACTAATACAAATAATTTCACTAATCTGTAGAGCTATCAAGCATTAAAATTTTATTCACAGCTAACCAACCTTGAAATATATGAGACTGGCCTTATATTTAGGTGCATATCAGTAAAATGGCTTGCCTATCATAAAGCATATTGTGAAGCCTTGGAAGCCATATTAGAAAGCTCTAACTTTTGAGGCTGTAGCGCGATGAAAATACTGTTCGCGAGACAACAGCCTCACATTCCTCAAGTACTGGTGGAATGGTATTGCACCATCTTGTGCAGCCTTGTCCAATGAATAAATGGCGTCCTCTATAGCCAAATCCGAGGCAGAACAATGGAGCATCTGTTTAGAAAGAACATCAAAAGGCTCAAAAGCCTCATTAACATCCACAACCCCCCCTAACTTAGCATCCACAACCCCTAACTTAGCTTCATTGTCCTTGAGCCACCCCTCCAGTAAATCGGTGTTCATCAAAACCATCTGCAACTGCTGCTCCAACTTTCTCATCCTGCATTTCCTTCACGCCTTTGTTCAACTGCTCCTCTCGCTGCCTCAATGCAGCTTGGGCATTAAACAGCCCTTCCATTTCTGCCTCCCTGCCCTTCCTCAACCCTGCTATATCACTATGCAACTTCTCCACTAGCTTATTAATGGCGTTCCGCTTTAAAACTTCAGACGCCTCATCCATTCCACTTCCATATGGAGACTGCGGAAATACACGGGGAGGTATGGCAGGCTGGACGGCGGACGCAAAATTCGCACTTGTAGAAGGACTGGGGGTGGGGTTAGGGTTAGGGTGGGGTCTGCGCTGCTGGGAATACAGAGGGGGGTCGCGGCTAAAATAATGGCACAAATTGCGACCTAATTCAACAAGATTAGAACTAGGGTACAACCAATTCTGAAGATACGGGATAGCAAGCAACGACGCCGGAAGGGTTGACGAAAGGGTGAGGCCGCTTGATGATCATGTCGCGAGTAGGGTTCACGAAGACCAGAGGCGGGTGTTGAGGGTAGGACTCCATGAGCCAGATGATAATGGGGATATTATAGGTCACACCCTGGAACACCATAGGGACGGTGCCGTCCACCTGGAGGAGATTCACAGTACGGCCATCGTTGTGGGTGAAGGTGCCGGTCTTGGGCTGGAGAGAAGGGTAGGCTTCGATGAGGGCGAGGATGTATTGCCGGATCATCCACTTCAGCTCCTCGGAGTAGGGAAGAGCCGCCGGGCCTCGCTGCGAGAGAACGCTGCTCAGGAATTGCTGGGTGTATTGGATACTGGGCGGGTGGGTCGCCTGTGGAACCTCCACCATCGTGATCGATCGGAAGAGGAGAAGCTCCCATGGTTTATGTCTTTAATATATATTAATTCATATATATCTTGAAAACAATTTAAACATAATAAAGAGAATAAATATAATTATTCCACATGTTATGTTATTGCGAAACATAGAGCATTATCTTGGTCTTTGCAATGGTACGCGTCTCAACGTTACAAGATTGGTTGATCACATGGTCGAAGTAAAAATAGTTAATGGAACATATGAAGGAAGTTTAGACATTAGCTATTAACTTGCTCGAATTCAAACATGATAACATCAACAAACATAAATGATCTAAATCCTAATTTCATTTACACTATATAATATTTTATGTTATAATTTAAATAATTGTATATCGATCTAAATATTCATAATATATTATAACAAATTTATTATGTGCATCGCACGAGTAAAAATAATAGTTATTATATAATAATAAAGCGTACATTTAGATAAGGAATAAGGTTTAAATTGGCCACTGAACATAACCTGAAAAGGTAATTAGGCCACTGAACGGAAAAAAAAAATTACAATTAGGCTACTGAACACTCCAAATGTATGCAATTTCACCTGATAGCAGGTTACCATCAATTTTAGCAGATTACTTGCTTACGTGGTAATTGAGTTGGCATTTTTAATAATTTTAAAATAATTTTTAATAATAAATTTAAAAAAAAATGATGGGTCGTTTTATTTTTATAATTTATTTTTTATTTAAATTTTTTTCAATTTTTTTTTAAAAAATTATTATTAAAATTTATTTTAAAATTATTTAAAATGCTAATTCAGTTGTCACGTAAGCATGTAACCTGTTAAAATTGATGGTAATCTACTATCCGGCGAAATTGCATACATTTGAAGTGTTTAGTTGCTTAATTGCACGTTTTTGGAGTGTTCAGTACACTTTTTTTTTTGTTCAGTTACCTAATTACATTTTCAGATTACGTTTAGTGGCCAATTTGAATCTTATTCCTTTAAATAAATAAACTAAAAATAATATTGCAAATTTTGACTTTATAATTAAAAATAGCGAAACCTACAGTCAACGGCTAGGATAGTCGGCTGCTGCTACCAAGTACCTACCTAAAGCCACGTCACAAATTTGGCTATTTTTTCTTCATTTGGTACATAAACTATTAAAAGCAGGAGATTCAATACGTTACGTTACTCCATCTTAATATTACGACCTCCACTTTAATTTGTACAAAAATACAAAATTCTCTCGCCTCAATCTCCTCTCCTCATAGTCCGATAGGACAATAGATGGCTAAGAGCAACCACACCAATGCATAATGGGAGAATAATGTCAGAAATTAGTGCCATGTGGAAGAGAGAGAAGGAAGAAAGAGAAAAATGGAATTCTCCTGCAAATGTGGAGAGATTTCAGAAATGTGGGATCCACCACAATTTTTAACCATGTGTGACAGCCATGCGTGGCTGTCACTTCTGCGCCCAGCTGACGCGTGCAGTGCACGCGCCAGCTGGGCGCGTCAGGCGCACCGAGAGGCGTGCCTGACAGTTAATAAAATAGTATTATTTTTATTTAATTTTTGTTTTTTCTTTTTTTTCCCTTTTTTCTTTCTCTTCCCATTTTCTCTATCCTAATCACTCTTACATTATCCCCCAATTTTCCCCAACCATTGTGGATGCTCTAAAGTACAATGACTTAGTGCCCTATTAAGTGAGAACAAGTGCATAACATTCATAAAAAGCCCACTACATTCGGTATAACTTTCACACTGCAACCTTTAAGAACTCACTTATCGTTTTCACTCATATTCAGACGGTCACGAGTTCAATTGCATGGTATTGCCTATAATAATAATAAGTTTAACTAAAAAAAAATTTGACAATAATTAAATTCGTAACATTGACAATAGCATCGTGATATATCTTTTATGTTAAGTTGAGTTGAAACTTGAAAGGAACCCTCCAAAATCATCACACTAAAAGAGAGGGGAAAACAAGAAAGAAAAATAAGAGTTCACCAACACCAAATCACTCACTGTCAGAACCACCATCATCATTTTCATGCTCTGCAACAACCTTCTCAAGAAACCTCTTCCGAACTCCATCAAGAACAGCTTCTCTCGACTGCTTTTCTCCACCATGGCCATCGTTGAGTACCGGATCAGATTGGCAGAGAACGAGGGCAACACCTGAAGCAAATAAATAAGAGATATGGCATTGGGAAATCTAAATATGCAACATATATACTTACTTTCGGGAGTGCATCTCCGACCAAAACTATGCATCCCAATATAATTTGCCTTGACAGCGCTGTTGTTGTAAACCAATAGAGTAGGAAGATTGCGATCTGGGTAGTTATGGATACAATCGGTAGATATAATCTTGACAAACTTTGTTGCTGGGTATTTAGTAGCCAATTCTTCTAAGCACTGCAACAGCACCCGGCAATCTGCATATCTGTCGAGGAGGAAGAAGTGCAGAGCTTCAACTACTGAATGCAAAAACTATTCTTATTTATTTAGAATATATATGTGTTAAAGAGTGTCTCACATTGATAAAATAAGTGAGAGCCTATGGGTTTACAAGTCTGGGTTAGACTAGCTAATTGGTTGAATTCAATCTTTTAGTGTGGTTTGGCCCATGTGCATTATAGCCCAGAAAGAGACATTACCCATCCTTGTATAAAAGAACAATCACCCAAACATCTGGCGGAGCTTGTGATACCTCACGTACAAAATCTGATCCAGAAATGGGAATCACGCATCCAAACTTTGCAACCTTGGCTGCTGCTTGCATATCTGCCAACCTCTTCTTCCTGCAAACAATCACCATAAAATAAAATTAAGAAGCAGCTGCTAAGATCACAATATCGTTTTTAACATTCCCAAAATCACAAATTGGCAGGTAGGAATTTCCCACTCTATGGAGCTACATAATAAACTGTACTCCTAATACAGAAGTTGATTGATTTTATCTTGATTTAGCAAATTGCGATCAAGGTGAAGAAGAGGTACGTACCTGTACTCTTCAAGGAAGGGGTCTTCGTCAAAATCATCTTCAATTTCTTCGAGCTCTTCGGCGGATTTCTTATCGATCCATGCCTTGTCCTTGGGCTGGGAGGAGTCTTCATCTTCGGCGGGGGTGAAAGGCGGTGGCTTGAAAGGAGGCGACTTGGGAGGGAGGTTTCCGAGTTTCCTCTGAATGTCATCCCACTGAGTAGAAGCTCCTTCCACGTCCTTGTACACGAAGTGGTAATCCGCCATTTCCGGCTGTATCTCTCTCTTCTCTTCTCGTCCTTTCCTGTCGTCTCTAATCTCTCCACCTGACAGGGGATCCAGAATTTCCTTTCAGTGGGGGCGAAGAAGCGAAAGTAAAATGAATTCAAAAATGTTCAAATACAAAATACACTAGAAATTACCATACAAGGTTTCTGATGAACTACGGGATAATATTCATCTACGCTCTCTCCATAACTGAACCAAATTTCCAGCAAACAATGAAACAAATAAACATAATTAACATAAGCAGCTAACATCACCCATCACATAAGCAACTAATATGGATTTAATCAAGAAAACAGTACAGTTTGATCAAGAATTGATGCACGTGGATTTAAAAACAGTACATGGAAATTAGGGCAAACAGGGAATTAAAAGTTTAAAACCCATGGAACATGGCATTCAAGATTTCAAGTACACACTGCTCACTGCTTCCAGTACTAACATCAAAATTCAAAAACTTAGGGCAAAAACAAAATTAGGGAAATTAGGGCAAAACCATAAATCCATAATAAGATTTCAAAACTCAAAATTTATAGCAAAAAATTAAAAAAATTATTGAAATTAAGATTTATAGTCCAAGGGGTGAGAAGTTGAGAACGAGATTACGATTTACGAACCTGAGGCGAGGCGGCGACTGGACGGTGGTGACTGGTGAAGACGGAGGCGGCTCACGACCGGCGACTGAGGCGGACTGAGGGTGAAGACGGGGACCGGGAAGCTGGTGGCAGTGGTGGGCGGTGGCGTCGTGGCGAGGCAGAGGGAGGACCAACACCAAATGAATTTTACAAAAAAAATAAATAAAATATAATAATAATAATAATAATAATTTATTATCTCCAAAAAAATAATAATAATAATAATTATTATCTCCAAAAAATAATAATAATAATAATAATTATTATTATTATTATTCAAAAATCAAAAGCGGTGCACACACTTATATAATTCCATTTTATTGAAGAAAACATGTGTTTAGTCGCTAAAATTTTACACTTATACCACTTTAATCCTCATGTTACATGCTCAACCACACGCGTACATGGATTATGTGTTGGTACCGTTGGTAGAAAACACAAATAATAATAAAAAAATAAGATTATTATTTTCTGGAAAGAAGGGAAGAAAAGATGAAGAAAAGTGGGTAGTGTTTGGTGTTGGGTTTTTGCAAGAGTCAAGTGAGCACTCTTTCCTTAAAACCTTATTTGCCACCTCCCAAAGATGCTAGGAGCGTTGTGGCCTAGGCTTCCCAGGATAAAACTTGCTAATGATTCAATGTTTGAGCACTCAAACAAGGAATCCGGCGAGCAAGACAATGGCTATGAACACAGTAGGTCAAGAAAGAGTAGAAGTTGAGACCGAAGTTTGGCATAACTTAGCCCGCAAGGCCAGCCAATTTTCGGACGACATTCGTGCCCCCAGGTGCCGGCGCACACGAGCTCGGGCTTGAATCAAGCCTTTTTCAATCTCTGCTAGTTGGAATTTGATTTGCACACCCCCCCCCCCCCCCCCCCCCCCCCCGCGCGAGAGAGCCTCTATGCTATACAATTCTACAAGCTTCAAAAGAGCTCTTGTATATAAGGGGGGGGGGGGGGGGGGGGGGGGAATCTTCATTCCAAAGCAATGTGGGACAAAAACACACTTTTTCCCTTCATTTTCCAACTCAAATGGGTCTACTTTGAGAATCAATATCTCATTCACCCATTATCCGTTTTGAGCGTACAATATATCGATCTCTTCGTCTCACTACGAAGAATCCGAATCCACTTTAACACGACCCAAATCGGTAGTGGACCCCACTGATAATTGTACCACAAAATAGCCACTTAACATGCCATTTTATGCCATTTTAAGCTATTTTTTCCAACAATCCCCCACATGAATGAAAAATTGATTTTCGGGGTATTTTGAAATCGGAAACAACTGTGTTCAAACGGTCGATCCCTGCATAGGATAGGTAGGGAGTCACTATACCCTTTGAACCTTCCCTTGTGAAGATATGTTTACTCTACTGGCTGTACGGTAGAACGCGATGTCTTTGAACCGACTGCCGTTTGTGTAGACGATGACATATCTCACACAGAAATCTCCTACCGTTCCACAGCTCATAAGGAGTCTTATCGAGCTTCTTTCGGGGTACCTTATTCAAAAGGTAGTTACTTGTCAAAATCGCCTCACCCCAAGCATCTTGAGGTAGGCCCGAACTTATAAGCATCGCATTCATCATATCTCTCAATGTACGATTCTTTCGTTCGGCAACACCGTTCGATTGAGGTGAGTAAGGTGCAGTACGCTCGTGTATTATACCTACACTTGCACAGAAGTCACCAATAGGTGCTTCGTACTCACCACCTCTATCGCTTCTAACCTTCTTAATACTTCGATTAAGTTGGTTTTCCACTTCATTCTTATAAAGAACGAATTTATCAACGGTTTCGTCTTTGCTCTTAAGCAAATACACATAGTAGTATCGTGTGCTATCGTCGATAAATGTGATAAAATACTTATTACCACCTCTCGTTTGTATCGATCTAAAATCGCACAAATCACTATGGATTAATTCTAGTGGTTCAGTTTCCCTTTCAATCGACTTGAAAGGTACTTTCGTTAGTTTTGTCTCAACACAAATTTCACACTTGTTATTTGTGTCAATTTGAAAGTTGGGAATATGGTCCATGCTAATTAATCTACGCATAGAATTAAAATTAACATGACCTAGTCTACCATGCCACAAACTGGAAGACCCAAGCAAGTAAACAGAATTAACTTTGCTTTTATTGATAACAGGAATTACATTGAGCTTAAACAGCCCATCAGTTACATATCCTTTACCAACAAACATCCCTAACTTGGACAAAACTACTTTGTCTGACTCGAACACCATGCGAAAGCCATGCTTGTTCAACAGAGAGCCAGACACAAGATTCTTCCTCAGCTCAGGAACATACAGCACGTTGTTCAACGTTAGTTCCTTCCCGGAAGTCATCTTCAGAACCACCTTGCCCATGCCTTCCACAGCAGACTGAGCAGAGTTTCCCATCCACACCTTTTCACCATCAACGGTTTCAAAGGTGTTGAACATCTCTCGGTTGCAACACAAGTGCCTGGTTGCACCGGTATCAATGAACCACTCACGAGGGTTTGAACCCACGAGGTTCACTTCGGTCACCATAGCCAAAAGGCTAATCTCGACCTCCTTCTGACTGCTATCTCCAACAACATTGGCTTCAGAACTCTTGTTCTTTTTCCTTGGAGCCTTGCATTCAGATGCTCTGTGGCCATGCTTGCCACAATTGTAGCATTCACCAGGAAACTTGTTCTTGGTAACGCCACCTTTCGGACCTAGCTTTCGCTTGTCCTTCTTGTTCCTCTTGGAGCTCTTACCGTGCTCCACAACGTTGGCCTTAGCGCCAACAACGATAGGAGCCTTCCTATCATTCGTCCTGTTCCATTCCTCAATCCTGAGTCGTTGGATCAGGTCCTCCAGATTCATCTCCTTTCGCTTATGCTTAAGGTAGTTCTTGAAGTCCTTCCAACCTGGAGGCAACAAATAGATCACAGATCCCACTTGGAAGGCTTCACTTAGCACCATGCCCTCGTCACGGATCTCATCAAAGATTAATTGCAAATCTTCTACCTGACTTAGCACGGTCTTTGAATCAACCATTTTGAAGTCGAGGAATCGGCCAACTACAAATTTCTTTGAGCCGGCATCCTCACTTCGGTATTTATGATCCAAAGCTTCCCACAACGCTTTTGATGTGCTTATCTTTCGATATACATCATATAGCGTGTCACACAATCCATTCAGGATGTAGTTTCGGCAAAGGAAGTCCGAATCCTTCCAATAGCCAACCGCCATCACGGATTGTGCATCTTGTTCCTTCAACTCGGGAACACTCTCGGACAAAACCTTGCCAGGCCGAGAGTTGCTAGGTAGAACAACATCTTCTGTTGCCACCTCTTGAAGTTCGAACCAACACCGGTGAACTTCTCCGGCTTTTCAGCCGAACCACTCGGTACCGAAGGTACCCGAGACATGGGAATATATCCCTCAGTGCTCCCACCATCTTGTGAACCAACGTTCACTAGTGTAGCTTGGGAATTAGCAACATTGTTGCCATTCCCTCCACTGTTATCCGCAACCACATTATTGTTGCCGTTTCTTCCATTGTTGTCCGCAACAACATTATCCTCCCCATCAATTGGCAGTACGGGATGCTCCATTTTCTTCAAGGAAATTCGGAGAAGACCACCAACGGGAAAACAAATATATAAGGTTTTAAGACTGTTGGTACCGTTGGTAGAAAACACAAATAATAATCAAAAAATAAGATTATTATTTTTCTGGAAAGAAGGGAAGAAAAGATGAAGAAAAGTGGGTAGTGTTTGGTGTTGGGTTTTTGCAAGAGTCAAGTGAGCACTCTTTCCTTAAAACCTTATTTGCCACCTCCCAAAGATGCTAGGAGCGTTGTGGCCTAGGCTTCCCAAGATAAAACTTGCTAATGATTCAATGTTTGAGCACTCAAACAAGGAATCCGGCGAGCAAGACACTGGCTATGAACACAGTAGGTCAAGAAAGAGTAGAAGCAGAGAGGTTTTGAAGCTGAAAAAAAAACGAACTTTCGTGTTCTATGTTTCTGTGTGTTAAACTCTACTGTATCTACCCTCTCTTATATAGGGTTGAAGGAGCCAGTAGCCTTTATTATGGCAATTAAAAATGACATTAAAGCTGCCTTCCAACAGCTATAACAGCAGGCCACTACCTAGGAATTGAATTCAGAATTCAGAATTGGAATTAATAGACAATTAATTCCGTACCAGTTGGAGAACTTTCGGGTTCCTGACCGTTAGCGTACAGGGTTCGGTCTCAACTTTCGACCTCAAACCAAGTGGCTATACCAGTTGGAAAATGATACCGAAGTTTGGCATAACTTAGCCCGCAAGGCCAGCCAATTTTCGTGCCCCCAGGTGCCGGCGCACACGAGCTCGGGCTTGAATCAAGCTTTTTTCAATCTCTGAAAGTTGGAATTTGATTTGCACCCCCCGCGCCCCCCCCCCCCCTCCGCGCGCGCGAGAGAGCCTCTATGCTATACAATTCTACAAGCTTCAAAAGAGCTCTTGTATATAAGGGGGGAAAATCTTCATTCCAAAGCAATGTGGGACAAAAGCACACTTTTTTCCTTCATTTTCCAACTCAAATGGGTCTACTTTGAGAATCAATATCTCATTCACCCATTATCCGTTTTGAGCGTACAATATATCGATCTCTTCGTCTCACTACGAAGAATCCGAATCCACTTTAACCCGACCCAAATCGATAGTGGACCCCACTGATAATTGTACCACAAAATAGTCACTTAACATGCCATTTTATGCCATTTTATGCTATTTTTTTCAACATTATGTATAATGTACCTACGTGGTACTTATTTCTAAATTCTAAATAATAAATATTGGTTTGAATTTCATCTTATCTATCCCTTACTTAAATGTGTCAACAAATATTGATTGAAACATTGTTATATTAAACTTACTTTTTTTTTTTCTCTTTTCAAAATATAAACTACAACTTGTCAATTCTCGATGCAACCAACAACACAAAATAAATTAAACTATTTCAATTTGAATTTCGGAACTCAACGAATCGTGAAATTTCACAAAAAAGTTTAATAACAATATTATACTTGTACAATATATAATTAACAACATGAGATTTGAAAACTTCTTAATTGAGGTACACATGCATACACTTTTTCAATATTTTTTTCGTGAAACTTT